ATGATAGTAGCTGAGAGTAGTTTACAATACTTACTCCAAGCACAAATAGATCATCCATAAGTCTATTTTCAAGTTTTGATAAAAAATATCTGTAACCATTGTATGTGGTTTACGCTTGGTTTATTTTTCAACATAGCATGAGGGGTGTCTTTAACGTTACAGATTATTAACTCTTCCGAAATGCCGCAGAATCTATTATTCAGAAAATCATAAACTTTTCCTACAGCCCTGTTCAATTTGTTAAAAGCCAGCAAGACCATTATTCTCAGCACAACACAATAAAAGGTTAAAAAATGTTAGAAAATTGAGTTACCAAATAATTTTAATTTACTCAAACATTAAAATGATATGTCTTGGGCACTTTCTTATGGGAGGGCTTTTTATCCAAAATGTGGTGGATTAAACCTTCAGATTTGCCACGTCTTTCAGTTTCACCCTCATTTTTAGGTACAATTAAAACGTTTTTTTTTCAGCCCAAAGTAATAAAATCCACCTAAAGCAGAGCTGCTCTTTCTCTACAGCTTTACTCCCACTGTTCATCTTTCTTCTTCGTCCATTATTAGTTAATTAGCAGATTGCTTGTCCTTTTTTCCACAGCAATTAACCACCTTCAAGCGTTCCGAGTCTGATCATTCATAGCTTCGTCCCCAGCATTACCTCCCTGTAGCCCTTGAAACGGGCAGAAATGTGGGTTGGAACCAACTCACTGTAAATTATTTCATATTTATGCGTTCTAATTGTGCCTGTTTGGCGATGATAAATGCATCCTTGCAGCCACACAGGGCAGCTAATTTAATATGCTAATTATGCAGCAGGACTAAAGTTGGGGAACACAAACGTTAAGGAAGTGGAAATTAATTTTATCCGATGGTAACTGAGAAGATAGACTGAAGGACGTTTACAGAAGAAGAACAGTGTATATAAAAATGTATGACAGTAAAATGAAGGTCAGCGTATTGAAGGAGAAATTTAAAAATGACATTTTCTTCTAATAGTTACTGTTTTAAATGTGCTATATAAATAAATGTGACTTGACTTGACTGTTTATTTAACTCAAATAAAAACTATTATCTGTTAACATAAAAAAAGTGATTTCTTTTTTGTTGACATCAGCATTGCTCATGTATTTCTTGAAGTTCAAACATTTTTGAGTGACAATCCACACAAAGATCTTGTTTTAACTTTGACCTGGATTTGTAGCCTTGAACTTGGAAATGGGGGGAAAAAAAATTGTATTGACATTCCGTCTAGTGATGTTGTATATTTGTATGAGTTTCATTAAATTATCTTCATCGGATCAGAAGTTACGGGTGGGACAAGAGAAAGTTTACGTATGTACGAGCGGACAGACGGAAACTAAACCATAATACGTCGCCTTTCGACAGCGGATAAAAAATAAATCAAGATCTCGCTGCCTCTGTTGGTGACAAATTATGAATGACATTTGTAAGAAGGCTTCCAATTTCCTCTCGTAAGTCTCAGGGATTCTTTCAAAAACAACTGGACTTTATTTGTAACAGAAGACGTTTCACTTCTCATCCGAGGAGCTTTCTCAATTCAAAGAGCAGTGAGTGAGGGGTTCAGGTTATAAAACGTTATGAAACGTCTTCTGTTACAAATAAAGTCCAGTTGTTTTTGTATTGAACATTTTGGAATTTATCATGTCCTGGATGACTGAGAATCTTCACCAGCATATCGCAGTGATTCTCTTTAGTTTAAAATGTTGAACCATTTTTAAAAAATTCCAAGTGAAATGTAAAAACATAAAGGTCAGATTTGTCACAGATTTTTGGAACTGATTTGAATTAAATTTTCTGTCAAAAAGTCAGTATGACATTTGAGACAACTTTGAGAGGGGTTGGTGACCAATGAAATTAATTGTGACTGATTGGAAACAAAAATAAAAATAAGCAAAGAGATTCTGACACTCAAGGCACTCTGGGAATGGGATTAAATTGTAATTATACTGGAAACACATTGAGACAAAATTAGAATATTCTGACTAAACTTTGACAAACTGGTTTGTATGCAGACGGTTGTACATCCATCCATTATCTTTACCCGCTTATTCCATTTTGGGTCACGGGGGTCGCTGGTGCCCATGTCCAGCAATCACTGTGCGAGGGGCGGGGTACACCCTGGACGGGTCGCAAGTCCATCAGAGGACCACATAGAGACAAACGAGACAAACAACCATTCACTCTCTCACTCATACCTAGGGACAATTTAGAGTTACCAATCAGCCTAACATGCATGTTTTTGGTCTGTGGGAGGAAACCGGAGTACCCGGAGAAAACCCACACATGCACGGAGAGAACATGCAAACTCCACCCAGAAAGGCCCCTGGACCGGGGTTTGAACCAAGGACCTGCTCGCTGAGAGGCAGCAGCTCTACCAGTTGTGCCACCGTGCTGCCCACGGTTGTACATTTTTGGCCTAAACTTTGTATCCAAAGTACCAATTCAGTGTGATTCCATGTAAAGATTTGTGTATTTTCTGGTATTTATAGATGCAGGCGTTAGGTGTTCGAAAATGGTTTGTTCTGTGGACATTATAAAAGCTTGATTTTCACAACTTGCATATACAAACAGTGTTGCTTGAATTGGCCAGACTGATGAAGATGTAGTCAAGATTACAAATATGCTCTTTGGGTTGGGAAAACTGCAACCCACTGTCATCCAAATGGAGGAAATTTAAGACCAGTTATACCATTCATCAAAGTGGTCAACCAACAAAAGTTGTTACAAGAGCATTTAATCTATAAATAGTCATCAAAGTCGCAATGAAGGAAGACCTAACTCAAATAGATTAATATGAAAAACAGCTTCCAGTAAACAGGCTATACAGTAGTCCCTCACTTATCTCGGGGTTTACGTTCCAGACAACCCTGCGATAGGTGAAAATCCGTGAAGTAGCGACGTTATATTTATTTTGGTATTTATATGTATTTTAAGGCTTTATAAACCCTTCCCACACTCTTGCAATGTTATTAACAATGTTCTAAGCTCTCAACGCTCTAAAAGAGCACAGTGAAAGAGAGCAGACCTACTGATGCTACAGTTACTGAGCCAATCAGTGCCCGGGATACACAGCACAATGCTCTGGTTGGTCGCCTTCCATCAACCAGTCAATTGCGTGTCATATATACAATCTTAAGTTGAAAACCCGCAAAACAATAAGTCCGCGAAAGTCGAACCTCAAAGTACCAAAGGACTATTGTATTTAAGGTCTAGAGGTCTTTGAAGGAATAGATAATTCCTGACTATAATTAATGTATTGTGATGAGAAGGGGACTGCATTATATCTTTTATGGTTCAATATTGTAAATCATACTTTTAAATCTTGAGACGTGTTAGTGCTCTGAATATGTGTCAATGATAACTCTCAGTTGCTACCACACCAAACTAAGCTCAGTATCTTGAGTTGTAGCCATTTTTGTCTATCAATGTCAACTGGCTGTGGCGGCTATCTTTAATTGGCCCTAAATGTTAATGAGTTGTAGATGTACGAGAGTTTCACGAAATTCTATCCAGTTGTCCATGACATATTTTGCTTACAGACAGTGTTGATTTTAACAGTGTCAAAGCTTTAGGCAAATATGTTGTGTATTGTGTAACTTTTATGTTATGTGAAGAGGATGACTTCCAGTTGCTACTTCACCAATTAGCTCAAGTCAGGGTTGACTCTTAACAGTTGACAAAGGTTTAAACAAAGATTTCACACAATTTTTTAGAGCTCAAGTCATGTGCTAGGGATGACGAAGTTACTACCATAGCAAACTTTAGCTCAATATATTTAATGTTGATTGAGTCACAGACAATTTTGTGTTGCCTGAGGTTGATTAGCCATGGTTGCCAACCTGAATAGGGTTGACCAAGTTAATCTGTTGTAGGTGGACAACCAATGATTGCTTTCTGAAAGTTTTGTCAAAACCAGCTCAGTGGTTCATGATGTATTTACTAACAGACAGACAAACAGTCACAGGCGATTACACGATCGCCTGATTTGACACAATTTCATGGGTTTAAGCTTTCTGAGAACATCAAGAGCCGGGAGCTCTCAATCGGGAGCTGCTGATTAACACCCCAAATCTCAAATAATATCTCAGCTACAGCCCCAAATCTCAAATGAGTTGAAAAGGAGGCTCCGTGGATGCATTCCTGTCTCTTTGTCAACTGTGCTCGATTGCCTGACCACTGAAATCCTGGAACTGGCAGGAAACGTGGCTCGTGACAGCAGAAGGACCAGGATCATCCTCTGACACCTGCAGCCAGCTGTCCGCTGTGACGAGGAGCTCGGCAGACTGCTGGGAGGAGTGGTCATCAATCTGGGAGGATTCGGGCAGTCCTGCTGCCTGTAGGAACCGAGAGGCCAGGCGGTTCTGGGTGGACGTATAGGATGGCATCTGCGGCCAGTTTCTTCATATCCATTTTGGGAAGGACCTTTACGAGAGATCCTTCCTGTCTACAGGCATCAGCATCTATAACATCGCTTAATGAAACGAGGATAACGAGTTACAGAAACTTTTAATTTCCCTTTGGGATTAATGAAGTATTTTTGAATTGAACTGAATTGAATTGAAGAAGTTTGAGATACTGATTAGGTTGGTAAAGGTCCAAACAACAGATGTTTCAGACCAGCATTACCATTCTCAGAGTGGTCAACCAACAAAGTGTGTCACAAGACCAAAAAAGGAAAAACAGATTAGCTTCAAAACATCTTTGGTTCTATCTCACATTGGGCAACGTCAAAGTGGGCCTTTAGTAAGCATGCTTAAATTCTCTGACACAATAGAATAGGCTATGAGTGAGTAAAACTATTTAAAATGTGTATTTTACTGTGTTTATATATTAACCCTACAGAGATTTTTGCAACCTTTGATGGACAAAGTGGACAACAACAAACGTGACTAAAATGAATGTAGCCTTTTTTTCCTGCCTTGGTACACACTCACCTCTTCAGTCAACCTTGTGTTTGTTGTCCTATCTCTTGAATTGCAGGGCCACAACCTCGACTGACGTAGTGGTGTCCATCTGCGTTATTTTTGCCATGTCCTTCATCCCTGCCAGCTTTGTCCTCTTTCTCATCCAAGAGAGGGTGAGCAAAGCCAAGCATCTGCAATTTGTCAGCGGAGTCAACCCAGCTGTCTACTGGTTAGCCAACTTTGCCTGGGACATGGTAAGTGGCAACTTCATCTGGATGTTTTTTTTTAACAGCTCCCAAATGATGTTTTCTTCCAGAGGTGCCTTTTTAGACTCATCTTTTTATTAGCAGCTAAATTAATTGCAGCTAAGTACTTTAAAATGCATGCTGTAATGGCATCTGTGATCCATCTAAGTGAGTTTTTATGGCCCATTTTCTCTTAGTTTTACAATTCAGTATGCAGCAGTTCCGGAGACTTTATTTCCACCTAAGGCAAAATGTAAAAAAAAAAGAAAGGAAGAAACATCCACTGTAATTGATAATGTTGCTTTGACGCTGCTGGCTGCAGGGAAAGGCTTCACCTGAAAAACAGTTATTGGCTGAGACGTAATTATTGACAGCAGCTGCCCCCCGCTGGCTCTGCTCAACAGGCTTACCGGTAGTTTCCCTCAGGCATTCTGGAAGTAAACATTTCATCAGGCTCCTTTTGGTACAGAAATGCTATCAGAACACTCATCATTATGGAGGATAAATGCTGTCTGAGTGCAGGACAAATGCACCTAAGGAGCCAGTCTCCAAGCATACCACATTACAATTTATTCTGCTTCAAATTATGCGGATGATACCATGAAACTCCGTAAATTCCAAATGTATCGCTCCTTTTGAGCCGTTGTATCTTATTATGAGTTATTTCTTTTTCTTTTACCAGCATGTTGCAAATGTAATAACCGTATTGATTTTTATCGCCTGCTGACAAGCTTTTTGTTTGTGGGTGTGTGAATTTGTCTGTAGTGTTAGCAAAATATCTTATGAACCACTGAACAGGTTTTAATAAGACTCTTTAACACCGCATACTGTGTACATCTAGAACTGATTAACTTTTGAAGTCAGCCCAATTCAACGAGGCCACCACACTCAACTGACCTTAGAAAATGCATAAAAGGCATTGAAGCAGTCAGTTTTACAGATATGGAGCTAAAATTAGATTCGGTAGTAGCTGAGAGTCATTCACAACCCATAATTTGAGTGCGAATTGTTCAAAAGCTTGCAATATTACATAAGGTCATGCATAAAGTTATTTTCAAGTTTTAACCAGACAACGTTATGTCAGTTTAAACATGGCATACAATTTGGTGGATACACGTTCCTTTAGGAAATGCTAGGCCTTAAATTAGCATTAAAATTTTAACTGAAGCTAAAGTGGGAGTGAGGTTATAACGTTGGGTTTAAGTGTGTTTTCTCTATAGAAATTAGTTGTGATGCATTTGAAGCGCCTGGGAAAAGTTGAATCTACTGGAGACTAGTTGGCGACTCAAACTTGACAGTATTACGAGAAAATACAGAGCTTTCACTGAATGGTGCTACAAACTTTATAATCACATGCATTTGCTTAGAAATACAAAGATCATACAAATTAAACTTGTGAGGTCTCTGTTGTCTAGCTTCTTTGTGTACAGGTATGCAAGTCTGACAGAGATAGCTGCTTATTTCCTGTGTGATTTTTGTTTTGACAGTGTAACTACATCATCCCCTGCTTCATTGTGATCATGATCTTCCTCGCCTTTCAACAAAAAGCATACGTCTCGCCTCCTAACCTGCCCGCCTTGATTTTGCTGCTTATTTTATACGGGTGAGTAAATCAGAAACCTCTTTACCTCACAAACTGATTCATAATGAGCTTTGGAGTCATGCAAGGTCTGAATTTTATAATGTGTTGTTGTTTTCAGTAACGGTGCCATTACAACATTCTTTTTACAAAGTACTTCAAAAAATATATATACTGTATATATAAAAACTAATGCCAACACATTTATCAGTCTAAAGGATGGGATTTTGTCTCTCTCTCATTGTTGAAGCAGTGGTACTTTGACAGCAATTTTTTTATTTAGTTTTGGTTTTAGTCTTTTTTTTGTTACAATAGATGTATTTTAGTTTTAGTCACATTTTTGTCAGTAATAATCATACTTGACTAAATATATTTTTGTAAAATTTACTGTAAATTCAGTCAACTAAAATATAGTATGAGGTATTAGTTATTTTCCTAATAACTTAAAATCAGTGTTATATAAATCATAGACAATATATTTTTTGCCCTTGTTTTAAAAAATGACAGTAAGTCTTCTGTCACTGAACACAATATGCTCTGTTCACAAGAATGTGTTGTGTTTTCTTAGTCACTGTAAAAGAAAAAAAAATACAAGAACCACTAAAAAAGAATGCATTGATAAATTTAAAAGATTAATTCATCAATAAATATGTAAAAACTGAATTTCTCAAAAACATTCAATGAAAAGGGGACAATAAAGCCAGGACTGCTCTTCTTAGTATAAAATTATTCATTTAACGTTTACTATGTCAGTCAGTTGGTGCAGCTCATTTATCTGCAGCCTTGGTTTGTTGGAGTTTAGAGTCACCTTTGTAGTTTATACCCAGAGGAACAGCTTAAACTGAGTTCTACAGCCAAACATTCCTGCTACTACATTTTCTAAAATGTTTGTCAAATGTTTATTTAAATCAGAACATTTATTACTCTACTCAGTACAACAGCAGACATTTCTTTCAGTTTGTTGCCTTGTTTTACAAACAGCTCAGAATGTTATGTTAGCTTAGCCTTAGCTTACCTTTACATACTGGCCTGTCATGGCGGCCGTCTCCATGATCCTCCATCTGGCTGCATGGACCAAACTCTATGGAAAAGTTCTGAAGGGCAGTCATCATCTGTTGCCGTGGTTGTTATCATCATCATGCTGCTAACGGGACCACGCTGCTAGCAGTACCATGCTGCTGATAGAGCCACGCTGCAAACAAGAACACTCTGCTAACAGGACCACACTGCTAACAGGACCACACTGCTAACAGGACCACGCTGCTAACAGGAACATGCTGCTGATGGGAC